AGCCCTGGCCTCCTTCAGTATGTTAACACCTCTAAGAGTTTTCCTTGTATGTTCTTAAAATTTCCTTTCTCTCCTCTTCGTCCTCTCCCAGTCTGAGAAGTGCGGCATACCAGGTCTAAGTCACCTACCGGAGGCTGATACATAAATCGTGAGTCAGATCCAAAAAGCCATGGGCTGTGAGGACTCACCCCATTACCTGTTGTCCCCTAATTACACAGTTTAAAGGAGGGATATGTTGACTCTTTAGGCCTAAGTGTTTTCCTTAAAAACATCAGCCTCTGCTGGTTGCTCCGGGGAGGTCTCCTGTTTCCCCTCCAACTCCCTCTGCTTCCTCCACATCTCAGCCTTCACGACCTTCCTCCCCACAGCCTGATGGCCATCTTCAAGCTTTGTTTATATTTTCTTCGCCATTTTCACGTTTTTCTTTTCATTACCCAGGCTTGCTTTCTGTCCTCCCATGCCTTTCATCTGTGTGTCCTGTAATAGCCATCCTGTGCCAGAAGCCGGGCTCACTCCTGCCACATCATTGCTTTCCCCTCCATGTAATTACTAACCCCGTGCTTTACATATCATCTCCTGTCTTTATGTCGCTTGGCTGCCTTTGCTGCCTTTATTCTCGTCCTTTCCTTTTATTGGCACTAATCTTGACTCTTGGATTGAAAACCTTGTCAGCTTTGGTGAGGACTGCCCCAGTTCCTGCAATCAGATGATTACAATGGGTGCTTGTTGTTGTTGTAGTTAAGGCCAGGGAAAAGCCTCCTCTTGTAGCTAGAGTGCTTCTTGCAGACTTGAAAGCCAGAAAATACACATAAATTCAGCTTAATCTGGGGGCCTGACTAAGGCCTGTTGAATTTGTGTGTCCTGAGTTAGTGACTCCCATATTGTCCCTCTCTCCCTTTCCTTCAGGTAGGCCCCATGTTCCTGCTGCCACCTGTGTCCTCCGGCACGAATGGGCAGTGGCTGTCTTTCCTGAGGGCACCCTGAGGTCTGCTAGTGTGGAAATAATAGGTTTAGTTCTCCCCAGACCTGCAGCAATAGGTTGTGATATTTAAGTCGAATATTAATCTTTAACACGAAATGACTTCCAGGCTCGTTGCTAGCTCACGCACCAGCTACGCTGCTGTCTGAACGTGGGTGCTGACGATCTCCCTTCTGCAATCAGGACCAAAGCTGTCTGGAAGGAAATATTTTCAGATCGGAGCAGAGGAGTCTCAGATGTTGCTGGAAGGCTAGGAAGGGGCTCACAGGCTCTTGGGGCAGCTGCTCGCAGTGGAAGCAGCAGCAGCCGTGTGGCTGTGGTGCCGGGACACAGACATCGACTCCCTAGTTTTATTTTGGGTAGAGGAGTGCAAATGGTTTGGCACATCCAGCAGGCTTTCTTGCAAATATCTGTATCAGTCAGTCCTTTTTAACGTACTGAATTATCCACTCCAGCTTTAAGATGATGTCTTAAATGCGTGCCTCATACTTTTTGCACCAGTACATGATAGGCTTGCTGTTTGTTTTTAAATCAGTGAAGACCTTTATCTGTGATATATTAATCCTTGCAAGGCATGGAAATGGCCCTTCAGTGAAGCATGGGCTATGGGTTAGTTGAGTACAGTCTTTTTAAAACCGCATTCCAAAATAATTATTTGGAAATAGTTATTTCTCCCTGTCTAATCAGCGACCTGAAGCTCCTGCCTCGAGGGATGAGTCAGAGTGCCCTAACGCTCAATGAAAGTTTGGCCTGACTCAGCTTGTTGGGGGCTTGAAATATGAATAATTTTCAAATAGAAATTTTGAGAAATGAAAAATGGTGGTCAAAGGTTTTTGTGGGCTTTGTTTTGTTGTTATTGTTGTTCCATGGCCTATACGTCTCTTTGAAGGCTATTTTCAGGCATACAGGAAACCTCCAATGTAAGCCTCTTGCCTTCTTTCAAAAACTGCATTTTTTTGCATTTCAGCAACCCATGAGGGAAAAATCATACAATCTCCCAAACTGAAGAAAAAATGAAGTTTAAAAATTGAAGTTAATTGGACAGTTAAAGTTGTGCTGTTTACTAGTAACGAATGCATTAGTCACTAATGGATAGCTGTCACGGGAAAACACTTTTGATATATATCTTTTGGCATTAAGAATGGTAGAAACGCACAGGTTAGCAGCTGGTTGAATGGTTTTGAAGGGCAAAGAGGTTTGGGTCTATGTAAAGAAGCAGCTGCTGACATAAATTTGTAAACCTTCACTTATTTACGAGATAAACAATTCTGCCTGCGGAGATAGTTTTATGACTTCTTATAGGTGTGTGTATATATATATTATATATAAATGTTTTTTTTTTCTCTCTCCCAGTGTGAATTAGGAAAGTGTGACCCTTAGGCTATGTTTAGAAGTTTGTTGTTGTTTTTTTTTTTTCCCAGTCATCTGAGCTGAAGAGAAGAAATTCCTATAGCTAGCCATTATGATTAAATTTTGCTTGCATGGGCCATACAAGAGCAAATTCAGCTCAGTCTTGATAGATTCATGGCAAAATGTGTTTCTTAGGTGAGTTAATACAGGTGTCTTTAATAATCTGGGAAACTTCCAAAAGAGTCACTGTAAACAGATCAGGGAAATCTGCTGAGTACATGGTTGGAATCAAGGTAGAGAGGGGCAGGGAATGGTATAGTAAATAATTTCTGTAATACAGTCTGTAGTGTTAAAATGGTGCAAGTCAACCAGTAGCTTGTGCCTGTCTAGAATACCATCTGTGGTGTGTTTGAGCTGGTGTGAGACTTAAACTACTTGTTACTCCTGTTTCCCTCCTCAGGATGTGGAATCCTGACAATACCATTGTTTTTTGAGGTGCTGGTATAAATGTTGCTCCTCTTCTGTGGTGTTGCCCAGTTTCCAAGTAATGGGAGTAAGTAATATGGCTTAAGATGTTCCCTACATTAGTTATAGTACTAAAAAAAAAATAAATCTCAGTAAGCAGTAGTAAATTGTGGTAGTACCAGATAAGAGACAAGGAAAGGTTTTAAAGCTGGAGTTGAGGAACTTATTTCGTGGAAGTTTATCAAAGAAGATTTATCAGAGGGGCTGTGAGATGAGTTTCTTGCTGTTTCTTTCAGAAATGGAATTTTTGCTTTACCTCTTTCGGTGTGGGCTGATTTATTTGTTTTGTATGTAAGGGTTTGGTTAAGACTTCTGTTAAAAGGATCTTCATAGGACCTCAGTGTAGCCGTGAAGTGTAGCGATGGGTCTGTGCAACTGGGAGGATCTGGTAAATGGTCTGACTCCTGTTGGTCATGCTACAGGAGACACAAGTCAAAGTACTTGAATTTATCAGGGACTGCGAGTACTGGCAGAATGGTGTGTGCCATTGCGTGATTATAGGTTTAAAATCACTTACTTTTTCTAAGTAGTAATTTTCCAAAAATATCTTTTTTTTTCTTCTGGAAAGTTTTTTTTTCTTCCCCATTTTGACCACATTTCTGTGAATTGGCCTTCTCTTGTCTTATATTGTGGAGGTGTGTTGTTCTGGTCGTCTTCATTTGAGTGTCGCAGAAATAGCCCCCAATAGTCATAAATCTGCTAATATTTGTAGAAGTATTCAATAAATTAAAAAAGTTCTCACTTACCACTGTTTACCGTTTAAAACAATCAAATGAGTGCTACCATTTTGAACACCAGGAACGTCTCCTGTGTGGATCTTGACATGAATTGACCAAGATCACCAGTCCTTCTGCAAAGAGGATGCAGTACTTAAAAGCTGCCTTACTAAGTCACTCTCCTGTGCTTCATTTTGCAATAAGCCGCCGGTGTTAAGCGTTCAGCTTACACTGGCAAGAGTTCAAAATAAAGGTAAACAGCTTTCCCTCTGTTAGTTAGTTGCTCCGTATTCATTCAAGATGCATATAACCTTTAGGTTCAAAGGGAGGGCGACTAGTTCAGCGTGAAAAATAAATCCTTTTCTGTGTGGGTGACTCTTCCCTGCTTTTGTGTGCCATTCAGATTCTACATACTAAGTCAGCACGATTGCTCCTGTGTACAAATACTGTGCTAACCAGTAGGTTGAACTTCCTTGAGCTCGCTTGGGCGATCTGATGAGGACAGTCCTTCCATTTACGGCTCCCCGTTGCAGGCTCTCCTGGGGGGTCCCAAAGAGCAAAAACCGCAGAGGTCAAATTAAAGTTGCACGTGTTTTGAAAGTCAGGTTTTGGGGAGCTACCCTTCTCTGTGGAATGTTTCTATGGAATATTTCATTTTCCTGAATATCATTTCCCAACAGAAAATCGTCCTGCTATGTCCTACTTTGTGCTCTTCTCATATGAATTACCAACACAGATAATCTTGCAGCTTTTAGTCGAATGGTATATGATGTGAAATTTCAGTTTTATTTTTTTCATAAACTGGCAAGCCACTTGTACTTTTATACCAAAGTTTTTTGTCTTTGAGAATATTGAGATTTCAATTTGATGAAACAATTCAGACGCTTAATTTCGCCGTGTTGTGTAAATTCCAAAGTGATGTTTCTGAACTCGGAGGAAACACAAATATCGAAAGAAAAGACCTCTGAAAATATTACAACAATATTTCTACTTTAGCTTGCTCAGACTTCATGTTGTTATTGTTGAACTCTCTGATATCCCAGAAGTATCAGATCAAGCAAGTGGCTTTTTCCTGGTCTATGAATTAATGGTATGTTTTCTCTTGAAATAATTACTTGCTCCTGCTTAATTTAAGCCAACATGTTTTCATGTTCCCTCCATGGCTGAGCATCATTCATACAATTTAAATAATGAAGCCAAACATTAAAGACATCTTAAAAGGGAGAGTCGTGAAGGATCCAAATAAAGAGGGCAGGGCCTTTTTGTTGTTAATTCTGTGATGCATGTATAATTGCAATATTATTGAAATGTGTGATTGAAGTAAGGCAAAGAATATTTGGCTAAAACTGGAAAAAAAGAGTTGACTTCTTAGTGTCTTGTCCATTGACTTAAACTGAAAGCTTTTCTTTCTTTTTTTTTTTTTATTACAGATAAATCAGACCGGTTACACTGCACAGAAATGGAGGTAAGAGAAGTGTTTTGTGTTCTCTGCTGGTGCTGATTTAGCTCAGTTTGTTTTTGTTACCTTAAAGTGAAAATGTAGAGTGCTTTCAGTGGGCAGTCTTACTGTGAAATGTTTGTAGCATTTATGTCTTTAAATTAACAGGTGCATAAAAGTGTCTTAACATGGGTCATTTAGTCTCATGCTCAGAAAAAGAAGAAAGAAAGTCCATGTAGTTTTCAAAAAACGAGGCTGGAGCTACAGATAATGTAACCTCATTTGTTATTTACTTCTTTTAGATAAGTATCTTTGGTTTTATTTTAGAGTATTTTATTTTAAATAATTTCTCTTGGATAAATTATCTTGGTGTGCTTTCTAAAGGACTAGTAGATTGTGGAATAAATACTTAGTGTTAACAGAATGGGTTGGCGATTTTTGGCAACCCAGGAATTTGGATAGAAGCAGAGAAGAAAAGTGATCTCAAGATTATTTTTCTACCTCAAGGTGTCCTTTTTTCATGTGCTTTTAGTATTTCCTTTAATTTATCACTTGGTGATATGGGGCTTAAGGAATAGTTTAGGTATGTCTTGCTGGAGTAGCAACAGAATTGTAAAACCAGTTCAAAACTGCTTGCTTTATATCTTGACCATTTTTTGACTCTGTGTCTTTGATCCTAAGCTGTTTTAAGAATGCTCAAACCACCATTTTGTCAGATCCATAGATTTAATCCAAGACTTGAATGAAAACTAGGTAGACCTTCTTGCTGGACAGGATGTGGACTCACAACTGTTTGTTATGATACAGAGCAAATCTGATGGCCTACTCCTTAACTAAACTTTTCCGGCAATAAATAAAAATATCTGTGTCCTTTGCAGGGCAGTGTTTTCTTCTTGTCTTTGAACTTTCTTTGAAATGGAAAACTGAGTTTTTACTTTAACTGTTCCATTGCTACCTCAGACTGGGCCTGGAGGTAGGGCATCTTAATTGGCGGGCTGTTTTCTCATCCCGAATATATGTGGGGGTGACAAACGGCTGTCGCTAAAAGGTTTGTACTTAGACAAAACTGGGTATGAAAACAGCTGGTTTAATAACAAAATGGAAGGCCCGCTAATTGAACTACACATGGTAAAATGCCAAAGCCGTCCAGGTTTTTGCAGCTGTTTATAACAAAATGGCAACGTTCCTTCAGCAGGAAGCAGTCTAAGGAGAAATTCCTCACTGATACAAGTCCAGAAATTGGAAGTAGGCACATTTTGTTTCTCTTTGTGCAGTTCAGATTAAGCAAATGCATCCTGTTTTTGTTTCAGCATTTGTAGAAACCCGGTTCATAAATCTCGTACCTTACTTACAAGTGATAATCTAATGTGTCATTTGCTTTGCATACTAAACATTGTTTACAATTTTCCTTCGTGTTTTTTAGCAGAAGATAATGATAGGCCCTAACAGTGAAAATAGAGATGATAAACCCTGTTAAAACATATTTTTTAAGAAAACATAAAATATTTCACTTTGGTATAAAGTAAAAATGCTTTTGTTTCAAAAATGTCTAATGAGAGTCAGTTGGACATCCTTTACTTCATTATCTTCCATGGAGAGAGCTATTAAATTTTCATATTTTTAAAAAATAGTTTTGTTAATAGTTAGAAAGAACAAGTTCAGCAGGTTAGAATTTCCCATGGTACAGATGCGCCACTGAAAATTGTCTCTGATAAGCACTGTGACCATTAGCATATTGACTCTTCTGTTTATCTTTGTCATCTTGAAGGAGCCTGTGAAGGAGTCAGTAGCTTTTTTTTCTCCTCCAAAATTCCTTTGGGGCTTCAGCTTTAGCCCTGGCGGTGATGATGTTTGTGTTTTTCAGAACTAGGCATTCAGCAGAGAGCCTACTGCACATTGTTGATTCCTGTGGAAAACTGTGGCCTGATCAAATGTATTAGAATTTGTGGGAAGCTTCTTAGAATTGTAAATAATGATAATCATATTTCTTTTGCAGAATGTGTAAGCAATCCTAAGTTGATATTCCATGTATTTCAAGCTACTGATACAAGGTGTGTGTGAAATTCTGGGTCCAGGTACCAAAGCCATAGTGGGAAGATGGGAGTAAGGAATAAGGTCACCTTATTTAATCTGTGTCTGCCTGTGTCTCTGTTTGTACATGATGATAGCATTACTTCGTTGTCTTAACCAAGGTGGTGAAGTGGTGAAGATTATTTAAAATATGCCAGCCTCATTTGTAAACACTTAGTACTCATATAGAAAGCATTCTGTGAATGCTCAGTGATTCATATGTAGGAGGGTTTAATTGCCACGTATTTCAGAAGACCCACCTAACTGAGCATAGGCTTGTTGTGTATGAATAACGTAGTTAACCAGCATCTATGCAAATATAAAGGTACCTACAAACTCTCACATTAGTTTAAAAGCCAGGCATGAATTAAATACCCTGTCCCAAACAATGGTGAATAAGCTGTTCAACATCCATCAGCTCATGTCAAATCACAAAATGAATCATTTTTCAAAATGTTTTAAGGAGACTGCTGCGTGTTGTGTATGCAAATTCTATTTGCAAGCCATTGATTACATGTGTCTCGTAATTATTAAAGATGTTAACATACAGTGAAAATTATGGTACTTGTCTGGGAAACTAAAACTTCTCTTTCAAATCTCTTTGATTGGGAACTTAAAATATTGACTATTTCAGACAATAACTTAGGGAAATAAATGTATAGGTTACATAAGGATACTGTTTCTACTTCAATACAAATAGGAATGTACTTGTTACTCATTATATTGACTCAAACAGAAAATCAACCACTTCTCATGCTAATGAAAATCCGAGCCTGCATTTAATAGCACAGAATGTTAGGCTTTCAAAAGAAGTGTCATAATTTTGCATTAAAAATAAAGCCACACCTACATTCAAGAGTGTTGCATACTCAAAATTCAAGCAGTATAAAATGGGTTGATTTAGCATATACTAATATCTAGGATTCTTTTTTTCATCCCTGGTGCAAAGAGAAGTAAGATTGTGATTGAGGGGCAGTTGCAGCAGTGAAGAATCACTGTCTGCACAGCGGTGATCATTAGTTCTGCTTCGCGAGCTTTACCCTTACGGTGCCAAGGGAGGAGAAATGTCACTGCAAGGAGGACAGGCAGCAATGTTCTTGAGAACAATTTCCCATAGTGAAATATGGCTGACTCTTGTCTTCCAACAAATGAGTTTTGATTATGCACTGAAAAAAAAAAACAAAACAAAGTTCTCTGTGAGTGCTTGGGTACAAATCTGCTAATTCCATGAAAGCTCTTGGTTCCCTGTGCTGTTAAGAGGAGAATTAGCAGGGATTCAGGATTGCTTCTTAGAAATCAAAGTAGAATCACACATCTTTTCTTGACAGCATTAAGTCATGCTCCAGCATTGGGTGCCTCTTCTGATGAGTGAAGCGCTCATCACTTGCTGATGGGATTATCTCAGAGATGATGCACTTCCAGCCTTTGAGGGACCTGTTATTTTAGATACCTGGAAGCCCATTATGCTTGTTTCTTGGTGTGGTTCCTCTGTGGCAGGCAGTCATCTGACCTCCTGATTTGCCTGGATTACTTTATAGCTGCAGCAAAACAACAGGCACTCGATTAAATTGAAAACACTCAGGAAAGTAGAATTCAGGTTTTGATCATCTGTGTTTTGTAACGAGCTACTTTTTGTAACGAGCTACTTTTTCGAGAGGAACTCTGTCGTCCTTGATTTGTGTAAATGTGCACAGCATACCATGAAGAGGTTGATCTTGGAGGAAAATGGATTTCTGTTGTTTGCTTGCTTTAAGCTTGGCACATCGCCCTTTTCATTCAGCGGTTTCATTAAGAATACACAATGAATATTGGGCTGGAGAACTGATCATGTATTTGACTAAGCTGATTTAGAGATAGTCAAATCCTGCCATCTGTCCAGGGTCTTAGAGGAGAAAACAACTGCTCCTTGTAAAGGCTTTGTAATTTTGCAGCGTAGTATGATGTGCCTGCAATAATCCGCTCATCCTAAAGTCACACGGGATTTGTGACAAAATCTTCGTTCGAGTGATGCCGCTGGGAAACCTTTCAGTCAGCTGGGGAAGAGCAGAGAGGCAAAAATTCATCCCTGCTCTTCTGACAGGATTTCAGGTAATGGCTGGTAGAAGAATAGGCCTCACACTAGCTTTGATCCCTCCAAGGAGCATTGTGCATGTGAAAAGCATAAAGAGCAGAACATGGAGCAGTGACTTAGGTGGTGGTGACTCTGTTAAATCTCAAAGCACAAAAATGTGAAGTCGTTAGAATTACACAGTTTTATCACAAGATTAACTACGGAAGTAGAAGTCTGCCAATTCAGTTTACATTACTCTGAAAGGGATCTTAGAGTGTGGGGAGAATAAGGCTGTTTGTACAAGTCTTCAGTCTTTGCAAAACCCTTCCTCTATTGGTTCTATTATGTTGTTTGATATGATACCTATCATACCGATGATATGCTGTCATATCTACAGTAGCTGTCATAGGTATTGATTGACGTGATAGCTATCATATTAATTAGCTTTAAGGTGCTAGTTTCCTAGTAGACAAGTGCCAGTTGGACTCGATGGACTTCAGAGGTTGGACTCAATGATCTTGAGGTCTCTTCCAACCTAGAAATTCTGTGATTCTGTGATTCAGTAGATAAGTTTGCTTCTGTGTTCAGACCAAGAGAAGAATCCGAGTGCTCAGTCAAACAGTAGGGTAAGGACAGTAGGGTAAGCTTTAGGTAACAGTAGGGTAAGCTTTAGGTATTGGTTGAGTGTATACAATCTAGTAGTCCCTTGTATTGTCCATCTTTGTTTTTTGTGTGAAATAAAATATAATTCAGTGTATGAAAATGAAAGGAAAAATGCAATGTTTCTTTTTGTTGTTGTTTTTGTTACTGTAATAATAATAATAATAAGCTACAAACATTCTGGCTTTGTTCCTGCCCTAATAAAACCCTCAAAGGCTTCTGAGATACTATGGCACTGCTTTTCCAT